CTAACCTGGTGAAGGAAAAAGTCACACAAGTTCAGGAGGCACAGAGAGTCCCAAGCAAGAAGAATCCAAAGATTTATTGGTGTACTCTGGGTCCATGGCAGCCAAGTGGACACTCACAATTCTGTGTGATAAGCTCCTGGAGAGGAGCTAAGGGGCACAGTTCAGGCAGCTGCTTCTCTGCAAAGCTTTCCTTGACTTCCTTCGCCTGCCCCAGATTGACTCCCCTTCCTTTGTGCCATGTTAGCTGTTCTCACCACCGTCACCCTCACCATCTTTGTCTGCTTTACTGGCCCATCCCCCTCCACACCATGGGCAAAGACCTCCTCTTAACTCATCCTCGTTGCTGCATACCCGACACCAGCTGGCACATGGTATGAGCTGACCTGGTGCATGTTTGAATGGATGTGGTGCTGTGAGTACTTGTGGTGGAGAAAGAGTAAGAACCAACCTTGAGTGGTCCCAGAAGGCTTCCTAGGGGTGGTGATATTTGTTTTGTTTTGTTTTTTAAAGAATAGTTTATTGGTTTTAAGAGAGAGAAGAAGGGAGAAGAGAGAAACATCAATGTGAGAGCACAATATTGATCAGCTGTCTCCTGCATACCCTCTACCGGGGATCGAGCCCACAACCTGGGCATGTTCCCTGGCCAGGAGTTGAGCCAGCAACCTTTTGGTGCATGGGATGACACCTAGCCAACTGAGCCACACCTGCCAGGGTGGTGATGTTTGAGCCCAGGCCAGGCAGCTGTTGGGTTGGTGATAGGTCCTTGGATAACTCTAGAGAGCTTCTCTTCTCTGAAGGACCAGAGAGAAGGTTTGGGATGAGGCTTGTACAATAGATGGTGCTTCTCATTTCCAGTGGAAGGGGCCATAGGGGACACCATGAATTCATGCAACCAATGCAAACAGTTGTCATTCCCAAGCCTGGGTATTTGGTAGTGCCTGGCTCAAAGAGGGGCTATGCTGTGTACTGTCAGGACTGAGGCCTGGCCCAGGAAGATGTTCTAGCGTCCCAACCTGTAGAACCACAAAGCTCTGGGCATTGCCTAGTCCCAGAGATCCCAAATGTTTGAAACGGGGGCTTGACCCATGGCTGCCAATCCAGCATCAAAATTTAAAAAAAAAAAAAAAAAAAAATCCATCATCAAAATCAATCATGATCATTTTATAAAAGAAAGGACATTTTAACATTTAAAGAGTAAAAAGCACTGAATCCTAGAGGAAAGGGCATTCTGACATTGGTTACATTTTGCTAATGAAGAACCACCTACATTCTCCTAACTATTGCCATTTGTCTGAGCTGGTGAAACATTGTCACAATCCAGCTTCTGAGCAAGGCTTGTGTCTTGAACTACTGGCTCATCAGTTGGGAACGAGTGAACTAGATGTTCCATCCTGTTTTGCTGAGACTAGAGGATTGAACTAGTGGTTTAGCTAACGTGAAAGTGAGGCCGGGTGTCTGTGCTGGGTTGGCTCTAGATTAGCAGGGCTTGCTGTGCTGAGCAAGGGAACAGTGGAATTTGTCTGAGTTGAGCTCACACATTGAAGTTATTGAGTGACTTACACGCAAGGCCATGACCTAGACTCCCAGCTGAGAGGCCCACGTGGCAGGGCTTTAGCTGGGGGAGCCAAGGACAGGCTCACATCTGCTCATCTGCTTACGTAACCCTCCTTCCCAGCTTCCAGAGCCAAGAAAACACACAAGCCAGCCCAGCAGGGCCGAGGGCCTGTGGTAGCACACACCATGCGCCTCACAGCAAGGGAGCCTTGGCTTAGCATGAGGATTGTCATGAAACCCTCAGCCCTTTGCTTCCTCTCTTCAGCTCTCCCTGAGGCCTCCAGCAGTGGCTCTGAAATCTGGCAACAGGTCTGCAAGGTTCTGGGCAGAGTTGGTCACTGCTGTCCTAGAGTCTGAGCTCTGAATTTTCTCACTGGGACACAGCCCGGCATGCAGCAGACAGGATGGTGTGCAGGACACTCATGAAGGCACTGGGTCCAAGAAGGCATTCAGCTCCAGGTGTGGAGCTGCCACTGCCTGCCACGTGCTATCCACTCTCTCAGGTGGGATCTGCAGGATTCTCAGAGCTGTGGAGGCTTCACAGAGAGAAGGTGGGGTAGGAATTGCCATATTAGTCAAGGAGGGCAGATCTGGGGTCAGTGTACTATCAATGTGTTGGAGACAAGATGGGGGCTGTGAGGGGGTTGCAAAGAGGAACAGGAGACTGAGAAGATTCTGTTCAGTGATAAAGCTCTAGGTGAGCCATTGGAGGAGCCTGGGGGGCAGGGGTTGGTAAGAGTTCTCCTGGGGCAGGTTGAGTTCCAGTCCCTGCAGTTTACAAATAGGGAACCAGTATCCTAAGAGCACATGGTACTTGCCTAAAGATAGATCATCCAGCAAGTCACTGTCAGAGCTAAACCAGCAGGGCCCAGGCATCCTCTCTCTTGTCCTAGAAACTTTGGGACCACCTTTCTGGAACTCCTGAAGGGGCAAAATTAAGACCAGCCTGCAGGTGTCTGCTTTAGGACCTAGGCAGACCAAGCGTGAATTCTTGTTTTCTGGGCTGGTTTCCGAAAGTATGAGTAAGTTGGTAGGGTGACAATCCAGACGCCTCCTGGGTTCCTGAAAATGGGGTTATGTTTAGCAGTATCTTGAGAAGCAAAGGTGCAACAGGGCTGGGGCTTTGCAGATGTTGTGGGGCCTTATGAAGTGAGAAGAGCCCAGCCACGGATCTTTTTTCATGTTTTTCACAAGTGCACTGTGCAGCAGGGCCTCCCAGAAGGCTTTGCTGGGGGCTGGGGAGTCAAGCAGTTCAGGCCTGCCAGGCCCTGTGGGGAAGGGCTGCCTCCAGGACCTGTGAGCTGAAGGAGAGCCTGAGGACTTCCTTGCCTGAAAGCCCCAAGACTTGTGAAGATGGGAGGTTCATCTCCCCTTTGCCCAACTTGGCCAAACAGAATCGCCTAGGCTCCTTGTTAATTATCCACCTAGGTCCTTCCCAAGTCAGGCTCTAGAGGGGCCTGAGATTCCATATTTTTACAGATTGCCTCAGGTGATTCTGATGGTAGGTTTGAGGAAAAAATGATCCAGGGTTACCCCTTACTTAGTCCTAGAGTATAAAGCCTATACTCACCTGAGGGCATCCTGGGAGATTGGAGCTGGGTCAGCTGGCAATCAGGTGAGGGAGGTACATGGCCAGAGGGGCCACAGGGCTTTGGAGCCCTGAGGGTTCCCTTCCTTCCCCAGGGGATCTGCAGTCTGACCTCTGTGGTGGTGAAGAAAGGAAAAGGGCAAGGCCAGATTGGGGCTTTGCTTTTAAGATTCTGGCCTGTCTCTCAATATAAAGTTTGCTGCTGGAAGAAAGAGGGAAGGGCTTTTCTGGCAAAGAGAAAAGTGTGGTCATAGGCCTGGTTCATAAGAATAGGGAGGGGGGCACAGGGTGGCACAGCCTTAGAGCCATTGGAGGTTTTTATTGGGAAAGTAATGATCAGAGCTGTGTCTCAAGAAAATTAACGGGAACAGGTCCCATGATGATGGAACTGGGTCAGCACTGGAGGGGACTGGGGAGGGGAGAGGAGGAGATGGTGAGTTTGCACCTGTGGACAGGCAGGAGGGGCAAGAGTCACAGCTTTTCTCAGTCGTTTTGGGTGAGTGATCTCTGAGGACAGGGGTGCTTGAAGAGCCACGTTATTGATAAATAGGGTGACAGAGGGCTGCACACTGGTTTTCACTGGCATTTTTTAGGTGAACCTGCTCTGAGTTTGTGGTCAGTGTTCTCACCTCTGCTCTATAGGTTCCTTCCTTTGTTCTTGTGACTGGTTTGCTTCACAAGGGAAGCTAGTTACATTGGAGTATCCGTTCTCAAACTGTGTCTCCTGATGAAATGGTTGTGTGGCCCAGTAAGTTTGGGAGATGGTGGGTTAAAGTGAAGATGATTTTTTGATTGCACAACTTCTCAGAGCCTTTGGTGTATGTCCCCGGACTTTCCAGAAGCAGGATTTAGTAGGCAGGGTTCCTACTCTCATTTGACCAGAGGGCATGTTCTTCCATTGAGCATCTTGCTGGGATTACTGTTTCCTGGAACCCATTTTGAGAAAGTCTGTCTTATAGGGACTACTGGGGGCCTGGGTTCAAGTCATGACTCTGTCCCCAATTCCCTGTGTGCCCCTGGGCCAGTCATCTTTCTTCTGCCCTCACCATCTGTGCTGCATGAGTCCCCAGCACCCCTCTGTTAGCTCCACCTGTTTCTTTTTAGAAGACAAGGTCTAAAAATCCACATTTTATCAGTTTTCCATCTAAGCCAAACAGCTCTCTTACAAACTTATTTTTCTCATCCTGAGCCATGTTCTTCCAGGCCAGAAACTTTGCATAATCATCCCTGACTTTTCCTCCCTTCTCCCCTCTCCTCTCAGTCTCCTCTTGGGTCTCATTTCCTTCAGTCCTGCCTGTCAAGTTTGTTTCATCTGTGCATCAACCCGTGAGAAATGGGTTGCTCATGACCCTCCTTGCTGCCTTCTGATTTTCTCAATACTGACCTTTCCAACACACACATACCCCTTTCTTTAACCAGGCTGAGTTCAGAGAGAATTTGTCCACAGCCACACTCGCTGGGAGGTAGCTGGCTGAGCTAGGTCTGAACCTCAGGATTTCTGAGAAAATGCTTTCTTCTCCATGCTCTCTGATCCTTACAGCAGCCTGTCAGGAAGTCAGAGCAGGAATTGCTCCGTTTCCATTTTACAGTTGAGAATCAAGGGGTCTGAAGGGACTGTGTCCGGCATAGGTGAGTGCTTCTTAGGGGAACCTGCCATCCAGGTGTGCCTGGTCTGAGGAGTTTCCTGGGATGGTTGGTCACTGTCGTGCTAGACATGGTACCTAGTGCTGGGCACAGGTGCCTTGTCCATGCCCACGCTGCCTCTCAGGAAGAGCTGTCTCCTGAAGCTTGGCCACCTGACATTCCAGTGAAGCAGTGAGTCGGGTGGCCTACTAACTCCTCCCCTCTACCCCTCTAGTTGGCCCCATGCAGATCGAGTTTAAAGTGCCTGTGGACCTGATACTTCTGGAGAAACAGAACCCTGAGGTGAAGATGGGTGGTCGCTACGCCCCCAAGGACTGCATCTCTCCTCACAAGGTGGCCATTATCATTCCGTTTCGCAACCGTCACGAGCACCTTAAGTATTGGCTGTATTACTTGCACCCAATCCTGCAACGTCAGCAGTTGGACTATGGCATCTATGTTATCAATCAGGTGAGTTCTGGGAAGATGGAGTGAAGGAGGAAATGGGTGTGTGTGTGCTGTAAATATGGGAATAGTGAGGTGGGGAAGGAAAGGAAGTAATTTCCTAGATATCTGACATTTTACAACTCAATCACTACCACCCTCCTTATCTTAATTAGTGTAAATAGGCTAAATGCCATACAGTGTGATTGCTTATTGCTTTTTGTGAGGGAAATTGCTGGAATGTTCTGTTTTGTTTTATTGGAAGTAGCCTTCCAACAAAGTTGAGAAAAAAAGCACTTTCCAAGTAAAGCACTGATTATTTCCTGTCTCAGGGTGGCTGTGTGTTTTCCTTTTAAAAAATACCCATTTCGCTGGTTGAATGTCGACCCATGAATCAGGAAGTCAGGGTTCAATTCCCGGTCAGGGCACATGCCTGGGTTGTGGACTCCATCCCCAGTGGGGGCCATGCAGGAAGCAGCCGATCAATGATTCTCATGGTTGATGTTTCTATCTTTCTCTCCCTCTATCTTCCTCTCTCTGAAATCAATAAGAAAATATTATAAATAAATAAATAAGTAAATAAATAAATAAATAAATATACCCATTTGGAGTCAGACTTTTACGCCACTTCAAATTTATCTGGTTTTACTGCTTCTGGGGTACTCACAGGAGACAATGCCCTTAGTTCAGGCCTGATTGCCAGGTCCCAGCAAAAGTTTGGGGAAGTCTTATTTGTGGGCCACTGAACATCATGTGGACAGAGCTGAGTCTGAGAAAAGAGAGCTTCTCTCTGTGTATCTGATCCATGTGGGTTTAAGGAAACTGTTGAAGACATGTCAGCCTTCAGCACCACGACCTGGAGAAATCAGATTGATCTGTGAGGCAGTATTGTTGTAATAACTGCTTATTTCCAGTCTGTTTGAGGAGCATTATTATTTTTCCAAAGTATAACTTTGATATGTCAAGTTTATTTTGAATACTTAAGTTCATATCTTTAGCCTATAACCTTCTAGGTGCAATATCGCATCTAACTTATCCGTATACCAAATTTCGTGAAATTGATCTGAAGAGACAGAGTATGCCCATTTCTAAAAGGCTGAATGTCCATTTTATTTCAAGATAAATTCTGAATCTGCTTGAGGTAGTAAGGTTGTTGGTAGTTGACAGCTTCCATCAAAGTTGAGGGACTTTGTGTGCTTCCCCTTGGGCCAGAAGGGAAGCTGACAACAGCAGTGTGTCTATCAAGCATTTCCGAGGACTGCTGTGCATAGTGCTGTACCAAATACTGCACAGAGATTCTAAAGAAGTGTAAGGTTCCTGTTCTACCTGTCCCAAAGCTTCCATTCCCTCTTATGGCAAATGGACCTTTTCAGGAAACAATTTGTTAACAATCCCAAATAGCATATGATTGGATGGTGGCTCCCAAATGCTCTGGAAGCTCAGGAAGGAGAGAGCAATGGCCTGGAAGAACCAGAATAAAAACTGGATTCTAAAGGCTGGAGGGAGACATGGGCATCTCAGCTGGAGCCAGTTCATGGGAACTTTAAGAAAGAAAGCAGCCTTGCATGTTCTTGGAGAGAGAGATGACCATTGGGTAGGAAGGCAGCAGAAGTTGTAGGGTCAGATGTTGGAGCTGAGTCTGTCAGGCAAGAAAGAGCAGAACAGCCCCTTTTCAAGGGAACTGAAGTTCAAGGTCGGGACAGCAGATGGCGGGCAGACCCCTTAGGTGGGGTTGTTTGATTCCTTTGGACAAGTGAGGCAGGGACCATTCCCCCGAGAAAATCTATAAGCAAGATAGCTGTGAGAAAATCTATAAGCAAGATAGCTGTGGTTCACTCACCTTAGAAGAACGTTGGAGAATGTAAGAGAGAGCAAGTAAATACCAGGCCACTGCAGTCCAACAAGTATTTGTTTAAGAACAACACTGTCATCAAGGAAACCTTGTCTGATGCCAATGAGCACATGTTGATCATGGCAAGATTCAGGAGCCCATTATTTAAGCAGTGGCAGTGAGTGCCTGGAAGAGGAAGCCACTATCACCAGGAGCCAGTAGGAATTACTAAAAACAAGCCATACCAGCTGCCTCTTCTTCCTCTCTTTGATAATTAGTATACCAGTAGATGAGTGAAACACTAGATGCAATGTTGTCCTATCTTACTCATCAAGGTCTTTGATGGCCTCCCACAAATCTTCCTGAGCTGTAGGGAGACAACTGTGGTCTGGATTACATCTAAGTTACATTAAAATATATACTTGCATTACCAGCTGGTATGGCACAGTGGTTGAGCGTCATCAACTTGTGAACCAGGAGGTTATGGTTTGATTCCTGGTCAGGGCTGGATTCGGTCCCCAGGAGGGAGCGTGCAGGAGATCAATCAATGACTCATCATTGATGTTTCTATCTCTCTCTCCCTCTCCTTTCCTCTCAAATCAATAAAAAAAAGAATTTAAAAAAATAAATACATACACTAGCGTAAAAGAGAGTTAGCGATGATGCTGAGTTTCTGAATTTAGGTGACCAAGGTCAAGGAAGGCTAGAGGGGGAGATACCAATGTATAGATATGTCAAATTTTAGGTGAATATAAGACTTCCCTGTTCAATTATAAAGTCAAAACCAGTGAAATTTAGCCACTGTCTTAAATTCCTATGACATAATTTATATAGATAATCCTCATGTTTCAAACAACAGATTTCTGAATGTCCTATACCAGCTATATGCTCCTGGCTGCCCCAGTCCTGGCAGAAAAGCTAAGCAAGCCAGCATGGACCTGTGGCACTGTTGGGCTGGCTAACACTGGACGCTGCCTAAGTCGGGACTTTTCTCAGTGTGCTTTCCAACATGGAGACCTGAGGCCAGGTGCCTTGCAGGAGTGCTGGCTTGAACAGTGTAAAGCAGGGCTCAGTCCTGCAGAGCCTTCAGTATACTGTGTTCATTATAGCCTCCAGAAGTCTCAGCACGCCTTGTTTCCTGAACTTGTTTGACTGGAGAACGGTTTTCGAAGAACCATCTCAAGTAATGAATGTTCTGTGGGTCACATTTGGTAGAAAGGGGGAAGCCCCCCCACCTCTACTTTCTCTAGGATACTGAGAACCCCTATTCTCCCTCCCTTTCTTATATTTCCCACTTGTAACTCAGCGTCGGAAATACTTCATTTCTAGTTTTTCAAACATATTTTCATCCCCCCCCCAGCCTTGTCCTATATTCTTTCCCCCTCAGTTCATGTCTTTTTGCCTCTACATCATTTCCTTCTCTTCCAAGGGTTAACTTTCTTCTTTTTTTTTTTTTAATGCAGTATTTTTAATTTGTGTTTAATTAGTATTTATTTATTTTAATATGTTTTTATTGATTTTAGAGAAAGAGGAAGGGAGAGGGAGAGAGAGAGAAACATCAGTTGGTTGCCTCCTGTATGCACCCTGACGGGGAATCAAACCTGCTACCTTTCGGTGTTCAGGATGATGCTCCAACAAACTGAACCACGCTGGCCAGGGCAGAAACTTAAGCCTTTTGAAAGAAAGAGGCCAAGAGAGAAACATTGCATCATTTCCCCTTTTAATTTAGAAACTTCTTGTGTTCTCTCTTTTATAGTTATTTTAGAGGAAGAAAGGGAGTTTGTAGCATCTGGCTTCAACCTTTCTGTACTATCGAGAAAATAGGTGTCAATAGAGCCTCTCAGTGTCTCCCTGTCTCGGACACCTTGCTGTCATGTTGACCATTTATCCCCAGCCCCATTTAAGATTAGAGAGAAAGAATGCTTAAAATAGGAGGGGCCTCTGAGACATCTAGTCCAGCGGTTCTTAAACAGGTTTTAAAGAACAGAACCTCCAGCCCCTGACTTCCCCTTCAGTCTTTGCTGGGATTTGCCTGGACCCCTGATGCCAGATAATGTGAAAAGTCTGCGCTGTTTCACGGATGAAGAAACTGAGGCTCACGTAAGGGAAGTAGAAAGTCACATAGGTAACAGTAGGGCTGCAGCTGAAGCCCCTGCCCCCAGTTCCCTAGTGCCCCCTCAATGCATGGGCAGTAACTCTCCAGGCCGTTCAGCCCCTCCCCTGAGGAGCGTCTCAGAGCTGCGGGTCCAGGCCTGGGAGTGAGCTCCAGCCCCGGCTGCCTGGGTTCTGGCTCTGCCCCTCCCAGCTAGTGACCTTAGCTGTGCTGTTCTTCAACTTGAGTTCCGTTGAGCTCCTCCGTCTCCTCGTTGGTAGGAGGGCAAGGCTTTAGGACCTTACGCACGGGGCTGTGAAGCACCGGGCACATGCCGCCCTCAGTAAACATTAGCTGTTACTGCTATGATTTGAGTTTCTTCTCGCCGCCCTTCTTCCTGCCTGTTTTCTCCACTCAGTTCTATGGTGATAAGCTCTTTACTGCTCTCCCTGCCACCCGCTTCACCTCCCACTCAGTCGCTCAGTGCCAGCGCTGGGACTCTCCCTCTCATTTGTGTGGCCCGCCTCCAGGGGGTCAGAGGATAGCAGATAATGACATAAAACAAAACCATCAGGTAACAGAACCTCAGGGGATGTAGGGACCGAGTAAGCCTACCAGCTTTTTAGAATTGGGTTGTGTCTCGTCTGGCCGAGTGTGGCTCAGCGGTTGAGCCTTGACCTAGGATCCAGGCAATCGGGGTTCGATTCCCGGTCAGGGCACATGCCCGGGTTGCGGGCTCGATCCCCAGTCGGGGGCGTGCAGGAGGCAGCTGATCAATGACTCTCTCATCATTAATGTTTCTATCTCTCTCCCTCTCCTTTCCGCTCTCTGAAATCAGTAAAGATATATTAAAAAAAAAAAAA